TGGCCGGAGTGTAGAGTCGTCCAACCACTTTGGAAAACATTTTGATAGTTTCTTATAAAGGTAAACATACATTCGCTATACGACCGATTCCACTTTTAGCTTTTTTACCAGAGAGAGATGAAAATGTATGGGCACATAAAGACTTTTCTATGGCAGCTTTATTCATGATAGTCTCGAACTGGAAACAACGCAAATGTCCATCAGCTAGCAAAGGATGTATGCACATTACGGTTCATTCGATCAGTGGAGCAGTACTCACCCACAAAAAGGAGCACACTGTTGGTTCATGCAACAGCATGGACGAATTTGAAAGAATATTATGCCGAGTGAAAGAAGCCAGATACAAAATCATACATATATATTATTTTTTAAACGAAACCCTAGAAAAGATAAAACTAATCTATAGTGACAGAAAGCAGATCAGTAGTTGCCTGAGGCTAGGGTGTGAGGGAGCTTTTAGGGGTTGTGGACACGGTCTCTATCCTGATTTGGTGGTGATCACATGGGTGTGTACGTATGTGTGTGTGTGTGTGTGTGTGTGTGTGTATGTATTTCTTTTTTTTTTTTTTTTTTTGAGATAGGGTCTCTCATTCTGTCACCCAGGCTAGAGTGAAGTGGCATCATCATAGCTCACTGCAGCTTCAAACTCCTGGGCTCAAGCCATTCTCCTGCCTCACTCTCCTGATTAGCTGGGATTGCAGGCATGTGCCACTGTGCCTGGCTGATTTTTTTAATTTTTATTTTTTTTTTTTTGTAGAGACAGGGTCTTGCTATTGCTCAGGCTGGTCTCCTGGCTCTAGAAAATCCTCCTGCCTTGGCTTCCCCAAATGCTAGGATTACAAGTGTGAGCCACTGTGCCTGGCCCTGGGTATATATATTTTTTCAAGACTACTGAGCTGAATACTTTGAGGACATTTTATAGTATATAAACTAAATCTCAATAAATTGATTTTTTAGAAGAGAAAATGGAAGGAGTGCTAAGAACAACAAAAATAGTATATTAATTCCTACAATAAAAGAAGAAAACCTGCTGGGATTTTATTTGGGTTATGTTAAATCTGTAGATCAGTTTGGGGAGAATTGATATTTTAACAATATTAAATCTTCCATTCCACAAATATGGTACGTCTCTCTAATTATCTTAGTAATGTTTCTTGCTTTCAGTGTCTTACTTATGTTTTGATGCTATCGTAAGTGATATTTTACTCAATTTCCATTTCTAATGGTTTCCAGTGCGTAGAATACAACTGATTTTTATAAATTGACCTCATATCCAATGATCTAGATGAGTTCACTTAGTTCTAAAATTTTGTAGATTCTTTGGATTTTGTAAGAATTTTGTACAAATTCTTTTATTCATTTTATCACACTTCTTATCACAATTCTTTTATCACTTCTTTATCATTATTTAAATAATGACAGTTTTCCTTTTCCTTTCTAATTTTTATAAACTTTACTTCTTCTTCTTGCAATATTATTCCAGCAAAGACAAAGTAGATTTTTTGGTAGGTATTTGTATCAAAGTTTTCCAGAGAAACAGAACCAATAGCAGAGAATGCCTGGGCAACAAAGCGAGACTCTGTCTCAAACAAAAAGAAAAGAATTAGCCAGAATCCGAGGCCGAAATGGCTCCACGTGACCTTGTTAGTTCCCTGAGACAGTCTCCAACGCTGTTCTTGTGGTTGAAATGAAATAAACATTTTTAGCACAAAACTCTTGCTTAGATTTTACTCTGACTGTGTGGAGCAAAGTTTGTTTCCAACGGCTTAGCGGCTTCCCTCGGAATTTCAAACATTACGAGCGGTAGCCGTGCAGGAAACGCAAGCGGATGGTCCGGTATCCGTGTTGACACGCTTGTTGGAGCCTCCGCAGACGTGGGCACAGCTTCCGAGAGAACCACGCCTGACGTCCAGGAGCGCGAATCGGGATTTAATTGGGAACGTTCTGCCGTTTCCTCGCTCCCTCCGCCCTCTCGGAGTTACTGGGAATGACTTGGGAAGGCCTCTGGCCCCCCTGGCGAGGGGGTGGGTGGAATTCTCTCTCTTGCGGGAAACAGAGCCGCGGTGTCGCTCTGGGCCAGCCGGCCGTCCCCGGCCACTCCTCTCCTCGCTGTGCCGGGGGAGGACCGGGCGCCTGGACGGCTCGGATACTTTCGTCCTGAATTAGGTCATGCCCACGTGAGCCGGGAAAGGGCTGTGTTTACGGGAAGCTACTAATACCACGGCCGTGGGGCCCTGCCCTGGTGCCAGCTACGGTTCTGGGACTCAGACGCTGTGTAAGTGTCGGTGCTGCCTGCGCCACGGGGGGCGCTCCTCGTGTGCAAAGAGTCGGGTTTACGTGGGACAGACAAAAACACTCGCAAAGAAGAGATTTCGGAAATAGCTTGGAAAGTGATTTTACCTTCTGAAGAGTAGTGACACCGTACCTTCTAAATGGTAAAAGCATCTCTCCCAAGCTACGCTATTCCGCTGATTTTAAGACCGATTGGAGAAAGAGAAAGTCATTGTCTCGGCGGAATTAGGTTCCTGGCGTTTTCGTTAACTCTAGAAGCTTTTCTGTTATCTGAGGCGGTTCGGACAAAAACGCGCTGTCACTAGACGAGGGGTTTTTGATGAATCGGTCGGTACCGGATGCACTTTGCGTGGATTGTCGGGTTTCGGAGATTTGAAGTATGGCAAGGGTGCATCTGACGCCAAAACCGTAAATGGGGAAACAAACGCTTTCTGTTCTTCCTCGGCCCAGGAGCTGGAGGTGGAGCCGAACCTCCGAGGCCCTGAGATAGTCACCATGGGGGAGAACGACCCGCCCGCGGCCGAAGCCCCCTTCTCCTTCCGCTCGCTTTTCGGCCTTGACGACTTGAAGATAAGTCCGGTTGTGCCAGGTAGGTGGAGCCAGGTGGGACCCTGCGACTTCTGCACGGCCCCCATCTAGGTGACGACTGTGGCTGAGGGTCCCTGCGGGGGAACTATCGCCCCGATGTCCTTACACCCACAGGCGGGACGCCTGCCCTCCCTTAGCTATGCCGAATCTCAGGGAGGAGGCACGGCGGAGAGGAATTGTTGTGCTCAGCCCTTGCCAACTCCCCGAAGGCAGCTGTTTTATTCTCTGGTTGGAGGTTTTCGGAGCTTGGGGCTCCACAGTCTCCCTGGTAAATCCCGAAGCAGGTCAGATTCTGGTCAGGAAATCCCTGAGCCTTCCAGGAAGTCCCGAGAGGCAGGGGCCACCCATCCTTCCAGAAAACTTAAAATAAACTGACTGCTGCCGAAGGTATCAGAGGCCTAGAGTAGAATCTAACGGCAGGAGACAACAGTTGTCCTGGCAACTAAAGGAAGGAAAGTTGTTTTTGCAAATGAGTCACAAGTGCTTGGTAAAAACCGTGGGATTCCCAGCGACCCGTGCACCGGGATCTTTTTGGCTAGACCCTACCCACACTGGTCGCAGGGAGCCGTGGGCTTGTGGGTCCCGGAACTGAGGGACTGGGTGCGGGCAGAACGCCGGCACCCCGCGGCTCAGGGCAGGGGCAGCATGGCGGCTCTGCTGAGGCTGCAGAGGGCACGGGCTGGGGCCCCCGTAACAGTTTCTTTTAACCACCTGGACAATTGACGTGAGGGGAGGCTTGGAAAGGCTGGGAGGTGGGAGAGAGGTTTCAAGTAAATGAAAAGATGCATGATTTTAAAATATGGCTCAGAATTAGCATCCATGCAAAATGAAAGAAAAAAATATTCAGCAATCACCTGACTCCCCAATCCTACCTGGTTTTTACGCCTGATCGTTCTCTTCCTGTCTTTGCCTGTACGTGTAGTTTCATGCATGGTGCAGGCATGGACAAGCGTTTTCCCACGTGCCCTTTGGTCTTTATAAACACCTTTTCTTATGGCAGCACAGACATCCCATCGAGTAAATGTGTAATTTGATCATCGTTTGACCTCTAATTGTCTCTATTGTCTCTATAATATAAATAACGTGAATTTGAATAGTGACATACGTATTCCTTTCCCCTAATTTTTAAATGACTTCCGTAAAATTAATTCCTAGTAGTGGGAAGGAGCAAAACTTTTCCTTTTAAATAACACAATGTGTTGTTCATTAGAGAAATTTAGAAAATACAGTTGACTGAAGAGACTTTTAAAAATTACGCACAATCACACCATTTCTCAGGGATAACCCTCCTCGTACTTTATTATCGGATTTCTTGCCTCTTTCTATTTACATATCTACTTTCCCTTTGGAAGCAACATATGCTATTTGTACTGTTTTGAGGCTTTTTAAAAAAATTAGCAGTATCATGTTCATGTTTCCATGGCATTAAATGATTCGATATTTTTGGATGTTGATAAACTATGGCCCATGGGTCAAGCCGCTGCAGATCGCGCTGTATGGAAACACAGACCCTGTTTGTTCCGCGCTGTCTGCGGCTGCTTCCGCCACGGCAGCAGAGCTGGGCAGCTGGGACGGGCATACCGCCCCAAATTTAAAGCTCACGTTGAGCGTTACTAATCCATTCGACATTTGAGATGCTCCCAAACCTGAAACGTTTTGAGCTCTGGCAGGACGCTCCGAGGAAGGCTCACTGGGGCGTTTCCGATTTCGGACTTTGGGGCTAGGAACGCTGAGCCAGTGAGTGTAATGCAAATATTCCGAAGTCTGAAAAAAAATCCTCAATTCAGAACACTTCCAGCCCCAAGCATTTCTAATAAGGGACACTCAGCCTGCGCGTGCTGTCTGGTCCTTCACAGAAACAGGCAGCCACCCCCTTCCCGTCCCCGTGACATGCTAAGTGTCGCTGTAGGTGTGGCACCGCTTGTGTGCATCATGTGTTGTGCCACCCGCCCTCTTTGCCGGTCATTTGGGCTGTTATAAACGCCACCCTTCCAAGTGTCCCCGCAGGTAGGAATTCGTGTACTCCTATATGATGGCATTTTAGGGTAAATTCCTAGAAGTGGAATCGCTAGCTCAGAAATTTTTATCTGTTCCTAAGCTTTCTGGTACATAGTTCCAACTGCACACACCAGAAAGTTTGCGCGATTACACCCCTGTGGGCGGTAGGTGGGGGGTCCGTGTGCTTTCACTTTGGGTGAGCCGTGGCGAAGCTGGCATGTGGTTACGTCCACTTCGTGTGCTTGTCATGTCCAGAGAGGGTGACAGTTTCGAGCCCTGCGGGTTTGTCACTCGCATTCCTTCCCTGCTGATGTGCTGCGCACGTTGCTCTGATCCCAGCGTGTCCTGGGACATGGCGGTGTGGGGGCTGCAGCCCGGGGGGCAGCATGACGGATGAGCAAAAGGGAACGGATACCAAGTTCCCAATTAGACGCCAATGCTTGATTCTATAGTTTGGAGTCACTTCCTCACTCTAACTCAGAACAGCTGAGTGAGAAAAGGCCGCGCCCGGGGCCCCCGCTGATGTTCTGTGCGAGGTGGAGGCCGCCGTCCCCATGGAGAACGGTGGGTTTGCACAGGCTCCTCCAGGCCGGGCGTGCGGGGGAGGGGGAGGGGGAGGCCTCTCTGCTGACCCCGGACCGCAGGAGGCTGCCCTGGACTGCAGGTGGGCCGTCCTGAAAGGAGTCAGCCTCTGACCCTGAGTTAAAACAACCTTCATTATCATGGTGTCATTCCTTCATTCATCCATCCATCCATCCATCTGACAGTTTTGTCCGGGGCTGCTGTGTGCCCCGTGCTGTCCAGGTACCCAGGACAAGGACGCAGCCTGACCAACCCCCTTGGCTGCTCAGTCCCGGGGCGGAGTCGTCTCACCTGCCTCGCTCTGCACCTCTGGTCCCCGCGTCCTTATCTCTGTCTCCTTCTGCCCGTCCTCTCCTCCCCCCTCCTCCTGCTCGGGCTCATCCGCTGTCCCCTCTTTCCACTTCTCCCCGTTTTCGTCCTCAGTGCTCCTCCTTTTGGGGCAGCCTCTAGTGATATTGATCATTTCCTACCCACGGGCTTGCTTGCCGCAGGAGAGCCGTGGGTTCCCCGAGACAGGCGGGCGAGCTGAGGGAGCAGAGTCTCAGCTCCGCACGCCCAGACCGGGGTCAGCCTCTGTCCCCCGCCACCGCGTGGCCTTGGCAGGCTTGTCTCCCCTCCCCGGATCCCACACTTCCTAATTTTTAATGAAGGCAACCTAGGCATAGGTGTATTTTCAGGCTTGATGAGATCATTCACGTTCTCCCTGAGAGGGAAGGGTACCGGTGGGGATTCTCCTGGCCGCCCGGGGAAGCTTGTCCTTCTGGGCATCTCATCCCTTGTCACGTACCGTCTGCCCGGGTCAGTGGGCAAGAACTGCGAGGGGTCCCAGGTGTCACCCTCCTTGCGAGCTACAGGTCAGTCTGCTGCAGTTTCACGGATGCCGGTAGGAGGCCCGGGACTCCTGGGTCAGAGACAGAGGACTTCACTAGCCACGGCACAGCAAGTGGTGCGAGTGTCCCGTGTGTGCCAGTTGTCCTAACCTTCCCAGTCCCACCGAGGCCCGTGGAGCAGCCCACATGGGTGTTGCACATGCAGGCAGTTTGAACCGTAACTGAGTAACCCAGAATTAAGGGAGCCCTTCCTTTTATAACGGGCTGCAAGCAGCCTCGTGCGGACTTTGCTCTGCAGGGTGACATGACGTTTGTTAAACCGGACGGTAAACAAACCTGCCTCTCGCTCCGGCGGGAGACCCTGTCTGTCTTCCGAGGCTGTTTGCTCTAACTTGTCCTCCAAGAGATGATCTGGACCAACGGCCGTCAGTTTCTCTGTGCACAAGCCCTGCCAACGTCCCGCCCTTGGGACCTCTCTGGGCGACCCCGGCACTCCCTCTGGCTGCCAGGACCCTGTGCAGGGTAGACCTGTCCCCCTCCTCCTTGGGGACAGGTGCGTCCTTGGACGTTGGAGTGCTGCTTCCCCTGCATCAGTGTCCTGGGGCTGCTGAAACAAAGTCCCCAAAACTGGGTGACTTAGAACAACAGGAATTTATTCTCTCTCAGTTCTGGGGGCCAGAAGTCTGAAACCCAAGGTCACACTCCCTCCAAAACCTGCAGGGGACCCTTTTTGCCTCTTCCAGCGTCTGGCTGTTTGCTGATAATCTTTGGTTGAGGGTGCATCACTCTGATGGCTGCCCGCATCCTCACACGACTGTCTCCTCCCCGTGTCTCTTCTCGTCATCTTCGCTCTGTGCGTGTTTGCCTCCGTGTCCAAATTTCCACTTTTACAAGGACTCCAGTCACGTGGGATTGGAGCCCACCCTCACAGCCTCATCTGAACTTGCTTACTCCGTAAGGACCCTCAACTTAGCTCCAAGCGAGATGACAATCTGAGGTCCTGGGAGTTTGGACTTCAGCATATCTTTTGTGGGGGACACTGTTCAACCCATAGCAACCCCCCCAACCCGGGATGGGCAGAGCTGGGTCAGAGGTGGGGAAGGAAAGACTGTCTCTGGAGAACATGCCTTTGGCAGCTGGCCCTGCTCTACTTGGGGCGGCTTTCTCTGGGCAGAGGTGGCTCTGCACTGAGGGGAGGGGGCGCGCAGCTAAGCGCACGTTTTGTGCCAAGCAAAGTCTGGGCTCGAGGCCTTCTGCTCTCGCCCCCTCTCTGGTGTCCAGATGCAGACGAAGTCGCCGCGCAGATCCTGTCGCTGCTGCCTCTCAAGTTCTTCCCCATCATTGTCATCGGGGTCATCGCGTTGATCCTGGCGCTGGCCATCGGCCTGGGCGGTGAGTGCCATCCATTATTCAGCAGGCTCTCAAATGCCCCTGGCGTGATTAAACTTTCACAAGCATTCCCTGGTCTCCCAGCCGTAATTACGGGCAGCAAACGCCGACCTTGAGTCTGCCCACCTTGAGTTTTCTGCGCCTGCTCGCGTGCCATGCGTGCGAAGCCAGCGGGGGCCTGGCCGAGGAGGCTGGCCATGCTGGAGGCTCGGTCGCCAGGGAAGCTGCCCGGTTAGAAGCGTCCAAAGGCGGCTGATGAAATAGGATCCCGAGGGTGGGAGGGGGGCCCCGGGCTGGGGAGCAGACAAAGAGGCCCGTTCATGGGGCGCCAGGTGCGCCAGCCATTGTTACCATAAGGTGCATGGGGCTTTTGAGAAAGTGGGTCGTTTGGACGGAGGGTCTGTAACAGGGAGCAATTTCCCTTTCAAATAACTGGACCTCCCATGAGTCTCATTTGTCACCTGCTTGGCTGTGTGGTCCCCAGTTCACTCGCTTCCTGCCCAGGGTTAGAGCAAACAGGGTGGCCGCGCCGGGCTCGGTCAGTGCTGCTTGCTGGCCGGCTCGGTGGGTTGGCCCACAGCCACCGCATTTCTCTCTTGACCCTAAGCCCTCCGGAGTCTAAACTCACCTTGAGCGTGGCTCCCGGGCCAGGCCACTTAACAAGACAAAGTGGGGCACAGCGGCCCCACACCCTGGAATTCAGAACAGAAATCGGGCTGAAGGGAACGGGCGGCCGACCGGGGTGCGGTTTCAGTACAGGTTCCATTACTGATGGGCACGCTCACCGCCACGCGGCAGGTGGACGGTAGCTAGCGCTGCGCACTGCAATGCGCTGGCCTGTCTGCCCCCTCCCCTTGCTCAGTCCACTTCGACTGCTCCGGGAAGTACCGGTGCCGTTCGTCTTTCAAGTGTGTCGAGCTGACGGCCCGGTGCGACGGGGTCTCAGACTGCAGAGACGGGGAGGACGAGTACCGGTGTGGTGAGTCCACGGCTCTGCGGGGACGGGGGGCAGCAGACCCAACCCCGAGCCTCCCGTCTGTGGGCTGGGTCCACGTCACCACCATTGTCACGCCCTGTCCTCAGCTGGGATTTGACTGGCTCTCACCCCAGGAGCTACGGGGCTGGGCATTCGGGGGGCCCTTACCTGGAGCCCACTTCTCTTGGGGAGATGGCACGGCCATAAGGCGGGAGCCCCGGGAAGTTTCTCGGGGTCTAGCCAGCAGGAGCTGTCCCTGCCCCGGGGCCCGTGGCTGCCGTGGACGGGGAGAGGGTCGGATTCGGCGTGAGCGGGCTGCGGAGAGAACCCCCGGCGGTCTCCGGGCCCCCCTCTGCTAACGGGCTTTCCCCGCCAGTCCGCGTGAGCGGCCAGAGCGCCGTGCTCCAGGTGTTCGCGGCTGCCTCGTGGAGGACCGTGTGCGCCGATGACTGGAAAGGCCAGTACGCGGAAGTTGCCTGCGGCCAGCTGGGCTTTCCCAGGTAAGCTGCGGAGCGTGGCCCCCGCCCCCGCCCCCGGGTGGGGACACCCAGGGAGATAACGAGAGGGAAGACGGCCACGGCTTAGCGGGCGCCGCTGGGTGGTTTAACACGTCTCCGCGTCCCCTCCTGGCAACCCTGCGACGCTCGCCGTCCTCGGTTCGCAGATGAGCAGACCAGGGCCCAGACGGGCCACGGGACTTGCTGGACTCACACGGGACAGACGGCGGCGTGCCGCTGGGCGTTCTCAGGGCCGGGCCGAGTCTGAACCCCGGTGCAGACTCAGCCAAGCTACGTAGCTGGTGCCTCGGTTTCCTCCCTGAGAAAGTAGGGCAAACCCTGCTTTCACTTTCACTTTGCACCCTCGACACAAACGTGCAATACGGAGCTTCGACGCTGGAAACCAACCCCTCTCGCTCCTCCCTCTACAGCCTGCAGGGCAGCGTCCCGGACACGGTCCTCGAGCGGCTGTGGTCACTTGGTGTCCATGCACGCCTCCCGGGAACCCCAGAGAACCAACTGTTAAAAGTCAGAAATGTGGTGAAAACACGACCATTCAAAACAGTCGTTAAGCAACACGTAGGAGAAAGAACTATCGCAGCAGGCTTTTCATGTTTCAGGATTTGGTGGTGCTTGTGTGATCTTTTTGCATCGAAGCGACACATTTTTGCCCAGATACAGTCCTTCTCCTTCCCTGGCTCCTTCCGTCCGACTTCCTACGAATGCGTGTGGCTGTGGGTCCCAGAACACCTCCCACACTCCTTTTTGCTCTTGACCCGGAGTTCAGGGCCGGCGGGCCTGCACCCTGCCTCGCGCCAAGGAAGGGGTGTCACTGAAGCCACGCGTGGCTGCTCTGACTCGGCCTCCGAGACGCAGCTTTCAGGCTCAGTGCACCACGTTCTCAGCTCTGCTTCTCCAAAGCCGGTGAAGCCCCACATGCCCTCCTGGGTCCCCGAGACCTGGCTCCTCTCACCCCACCCCAACCCGGGTTCAGAAACCAGCTGCAGTCCAGGTTCAGCAAGCACAGCAAGAAGCACCCACACAAATGCCTTCGAGAATGGCGTAGACTTTACTCCTCAAAGACAAAGAGAAGTTGTTTACGTCACAGACGGACAGCTGAGAGCGTCCTCGTTAGGCATTTCTGCTCCCTGCCAACCCTCTCCTCAGACACACGGGCGTGGGGAGGGGTCCCTTTCTCTTCCCGTGTCCGCCCCGTTCTGTCCTGGAGCACGGGCCACCTGCCCTGGGTGGGTCCCGGGGCCTCTCTGCTGTCACACGCAACACTCAGCTCTGCACCCCCAGCAGACCGCAGTGGGGAACCCCGGCCTCCCTGGGCAGCATTTGGGGCTACCCTGCCATGTGACAGCTCTCAGATCGGCCTCCACCCCAGCCTGTTGCTAAAATGTCCCTTCCTGCATCCACAATGCTCCCCGCTGGAGAAGTCCAGGCAGGGCCATCTGTGCAGCCTGCCACCTGGGCGCCTCCCCTTCCCCACCGCGGCCGTGCTCCTCTCTCCCCTGCCTGGGGCTTCGTTTCCAAGGGTCACTTCTGCGTTCTGCTTTGCTCATTCTTCCCGCCTCACTCTCCGAAGCTCCCTCTGTGATCCTGTCTGGTCCACCACGACCCGTGCGAGGTGTCAGTGACTCACAGACGACCGGGACAGAGGACTGCCCAGCCGGGTCGCTCCGCTCGGACCCCGGTGCAGACTCCGCCAAGCCACGTAGCTGGTGCCTCGGTTTCCTCCCTGAGAAAGTAGGGGGGACACTAGGCCCTGCTTTGAAGGATCGTCATGAGCTCGAATGGCCTTGTGGGTGTGGGGCGAGCTGGCACGTGGGCTCACGCCTGAGGCTGTGGTTGCCGCTGTCGTCACTGCCACCGAGAGACCTGGACAACGGCGCCCGGCTGTCCCAGCAAGGCCGGCCCTTCCACGCGGCGCCTGCACGAGGGCGAGCTGACCGGGCCCTGCAAGGGCTGCGGAGGTCGTCACGGCTGCCTAGACTGCGTTTCCTTCCAAAGGCGGAGCTGGCGGGATGTTCGTTCCGCGCACACGTCCCCTCCGCACCCTCGGTGGCCTGCTGAGACCTGCCGGCAAGGGGCGCGGTAGCTGGGGACGCGGGCCGATGACCGCACCATACTCTGTCACTACACGAAGACAGGGGACAATGGCCATTTATCCACCACCTCGCGACTCTCCAAACATTCGCTACCTTAGACAAAAATGGCAGCCGCTCCACCCCGCGCCCCAGCAGCGCCATTTCCGGACGCGTTAGACACCTGCTGGGGGGCCTGGCGCCCCGAAGCAAGCGCCTCCTCGTGCGTGTTCGCCCCCGCCCCCTGCGGACCAAGAGGCCCCGTCCTCCCGACTGTGTTCTCGGGGTGCACGGCATCCCCGCCTTGGGGCCCAGCTGACACCCCACACCCAGTTCTGCGTCCGCGGCCCCCGGACGCGTGTCAGGCCGTGCGAAGGCCATTGCAGCCGAATGCGTCAAGGCTGGGACCTGACCCCTGACCCCAGGAAATGGTCCCCTCCTGCGTGGCTGCATGCCCCCCGGGTGGGCGGGCAGGGCCGTGGCGCGGGCGGAGGCGGAAGGGCCCAGGCCATGCCAGGTGGGGACACGGCTAAGGTGAGGGGACGCTCTTCTACTGGCAAAGGGGCCTGCGATGGTTTTGGGGGGACGAAACGACACCCCCGCGTGTGAGCCCCGTGCGACAGGGAGCAAATTTAACACACGGTCTGTGTCTACGTGCCTGCAGCTACGTCAGCTCCGACAGCCTCCGGGTGAGCTCGGTCGAGGAGCAGTTCCAGGAGGACTTCGTGTCCATCAACCACCTCTTGCCAGACGACAAGGTGACGGCCCTGCACCACGCCGTGTACGTCAGGTGAGTCGGTGGGTCACCGGGCGGTGCCGCCGTCCGCCCTGGCGTGGGCCGCCTGCCGGGTTTGTGGGGCCGCGCTCGGCTCCACGCAGACTCGGGGGGCAAAGGGGACTGCTGTCGCAGGACACGGGGCAGGTGGCCGCCCAGGTTAGAGGGGCAGATGCGCCGTGGGGGGCTCGAGAACCTACTCCCACTGCAGGCCACTGAGGCCGACGGGGACAAGGCAGGAGCTGGGGTACAGGAGTGACCGTGCTGCACGCGTGATGTGCGTGTTCTCGCGCCAGGCGGCCCAGGATGTCTGGGGAACGGAAGCAGCAAGGGTCGGGAGGGAGGGAAAAAGAATCGGAAATTAAGAAAGAAGTTTATCCTCTTTGTTTACTAAGTACTTTAGCATGCCTCCTTCATTTTACACGTTTCCCCCAACAACTCACGGGGCAGGTAAAGCCAGGTGTCCTTAAATAGCAGTCAGCACCTGGGGCGGAGCAGACTCACCTGCCGAGCGCCGGGCCTGGGGTGGGGGGCAGGTGCGGCCAGTGTCCCGAACGCACGGTGCCTGCTCTCTTCCTGACGCCTGAGCTGTGTGTTCCCTGCTCTGGGAACAGGCTTGCCAGTCTGTCCGTCGGGGAATGGACAAGCGCCCGGGACGCCCGGGGCAGTCGGGGGGCAGCTCCCCCTGCCTGGAGACACAAGCTTGCCCCTGCGTGATGAGGCTGAGGCTCTAAAGGCAGGAAAAGTGACAAAGATCCGGGGACCCCTCTCCCTTCACTGAGATCAGCGCATGCCCTGGTCCCCGTCCCCCGTGTGGGGCAGGAGGGAGCGTCTGTCATTCTGGGGCAGTCACACTTTGCTGCCCCGGAGGCGTCCTCTGGGAGGTGTGTGGGTGAAGCCAGGCCGTGGGGCCCTGGAGAGCGGGCCACGCCGTCCCCTGGGCATGCCGTGTCCCCCAGGGGCCAGGATGTGAAGGACACTGGGTGAATTGGGCGTGCAATGACATGGGTTTATGTTTATGTTTATACCTCTCCTCACTCCCACGGTTCGCTTCGTTTTTCACATAGACTGAGACGGCAACCGATATTGCAGCGTGGGGAGAACAGAGTTTACTTTTCCGTTACCCCAAGGTGAAGTGCAAAAAGAGCGCTTGCTCCCCAGGCCTCAGCCGTCTCTCATGCAGCCTGCTTTCTTCCCCCTGTAGGGAGGGATGTGCCTCGGGTCACGTGGTCACCTTGAAGTGCACAGGTAAGGGTTTCTGCGACGCAGAGATCCAACGCCCAGGCTCCTGTTCCCCGCCCCGCCGCCTCTGAGGACTGCCCTGAGTCCCTCCCCTCCGGGTGCCAGCGGGGAACTCTGCGCACCCCCACCTGGCAGAGGGGGGCAGCAGTGTCGGCCCCACTTGTCAGGTGAGGGAGGCAGCTAGGGGTGACTTCTTAGCAGCATATAGGACCCAGGTCCGTGAGTCCTGCCACTCTATCCCTCTCTCCTTAAGTTTGTGCAGGCCCCAGGGTCGGGGACAGCCCCCTTGTTCATGCCTGGGAGGTGAGTCCAGGTGGCAGGGGTGGGGTCAGGAGAGGTGGGGGGGTGCTGGCTGGCACCTGTGGTAGTGAGGCAGGGGGCGGCTCCTCTGGGGAGCTGTCAGGCGTCCCTGTGTGTTGTCATCACCGGGGAAGGGGCTGGGGGCGCTGCTGACCAGGCAGGGGGCTCTCTGCTCTGATGGGCTCTTCCCACTGCACCCCTGCAACACCCGCCTGTCCTCAAGTCCCCTCCCCCCCAGCCTGCGCCACTGCTCACCCCGGGGGCCCCATTGCAGTGCGCCTTAGCACTGCCGAGAGCTCTGGGCAGGTAGCAGCAACACCGGGGAGAGACAAGCAGGCCCCGGAAAAGTCTGCGGGGTCGGCCTGCAAGCCCTGCTCTCCCCCACAGCCTGTGGCCTGCGGACGGGCTACAGCCCGCGCATCGTGGGTGGGAACACGTCCTGGCCGGCGCAGTGGCCCTGGCAGGTCAGCCTGCAGTTCCAGGGCTACCACCTGTGCGGGGGCTCCGTCATCACCCCGTTGTGGATCGTCACCGCGGCACACTGCGTCTACGAGTGAGTGCCCCGACCCGGTCGGGTGGCGCCCGTCTCCCAGACCCCGGCCGGTGCCCGGGCCCCGTGGGGGTGCGGCCGACGCGGGCGGTGGGGGCAGGGGCAGGAACAGGCAGGCGGGGCTCCACCAGGTCACGCCAGGTGGACGGCCTCTCTGCTCAGCCCACACCCGCCACCGTCAGCTCACAGGGACTGCTGACCCCGAGCCTGTTTAAGGTTTTTAGACCCGTAGCTCGTACAGAAAAGTGTGGACTAAAGAAAAAAAAAATTCAAGCTTTTGAAGAGCTAAAGTTGATTTTATTCAGCATCTGAGTGAGCACAGCAGCCCGGGAGGAAGCTTTCGGAGTGCTTCTGTCCCACTGCTCCGACGCGGGGTCCAGCTCACGGCTATGCACGGCTGTGGCGCCTCCGTGTGTGCACATACGTCCAAGCGTGGGTGCGAGACCATGCCTGGCTGTAGGTCACTAAAGGGCATCTGCTTGTACGTGGCAGAAGCACAGTCCCTAACCCCGCCAGGCACTATCCTCTGTGCAGGAAGAGGTAAGATTGGGATCGGTTAGGACCCAGGCAAGAGACACTGGGGCCCGTGCTCCGAGCTGTCCTGTCTCCAGAGGGCTGTGCCCCTCGCAGAGTCGAGGATTGCGAACGGTGCTGGCGGGCAGGAATGAGCACACTGGCTTCGTTGTCACTTTGTCTCCCCAAAGTTAGAAAGAGTGGGGAGGAAGCTCTGGGCAGGGAAGCCCATCAGATAAAAGGCCCGACCTTCTTGCAGCTAATTGCGGTGGACCCTGGCACAGCTGAGACAGGACGAGCTGGTGCAGGGTGGGCAGGGAGTTGCAGGTCCCCCGTGGGGCACCAGGCATCTTCTTACACTGGCAGGAGCATAGAGTGTGGGGAAATGCAGGGAAGACTCCCCAACACAGCGGTTCCCCCGTTATTTTCACCTCCTGCTTGGGTTGCTGCTGGTAGAGAATGGGCCCTGACAGAGCCCCGCAGTGAGCAGAGCTGAGTGTGGGTTTCCAATGCCGAGAGGACTCCCGAGGGGCAGGGTGGGGCATGTCTAGGAGACATGCGTGTGGGTCTGTGATTCTGCAGGGCGTGGGAGCCGCGGTCGGTGTCCAGTGTGAACAGGCCAGGCAGGAGGGCCTTCTCCCGGCTCCCAGGATGCTTGGGTGAGTGGGGTGACGGCGGGGTCTCTGTGTTTACCTCCTGCTCTTTTGCTGCAGCCTGTACCTCCCCAAGTCCTGGACCATCCAGGTGGGGCTCGTGTCCTTGCTGGACAGCCCGGCCCCATCCCACATGGTGGAGAAGATCGTCTACCACAGCAAGTACAAGCCCAAGAGGCTGGGCAATGACATCGCGCTCATGAAGCTGGCCGGGCCGCTCACGTTTGACGGTACGTCTGGGTTCCGGGTGGTTCTGTTGCTTTCGTTTGTCTCAAGAGAATTGGTAATTACTTGTTGAAGCATGTTTGTGATGGCCGCTTTATAATCCTTGTGGGATAATTCCGACATCTGGCTCGCGTTGGGGCCAGTTGATTGTCTTTTCTCCTGAAGTTGCCACTTTCTGGGTTCTTACATGATAAGTAATTCTCCCTTGTATCCTGGACGATTTGGTTATGATGTTAGTGGATGTGGAGTCCTGTGTAAGTTTCCAGTGTTAGCAGGCAGTTGCCCTGCTTAAGTGCATTTTGTGGATCCTGGCCCACTTCCAATGATAAGTTAATTTTCGAGCTCTTGGGGTTCTACTCTGGTCATGTGCCACCTCCTCCCTGCTCCTGCCACCTGGAGGCAGAGTGTCCCCAGGCCAGACTTCCTGGTGCCTCTAGGTGGGGGACGAGAGTCACCTGCCCCTGGGGCCAGAGCACTTCCCCGTCCAGGTGCATGTTGTGACTGGGCCCTGCCAGCACCAGGCACCTGCCCGTGTCTCTAGGTGGAGGGCAGAGTCCCTGTCACAGCCGGCCTGGTGGTGGCCGTCTCCTCCCATTCCCTGCCAGGGCTGTGCTCAGCTGGCTCCAGACGCCTTGTTTCTTGGAAAAGTCGAGTCCTGTTCTGTGGATGTCACAAAGCCAGCAGAGAAGCCACACCGCACAGCACCTTCGAACATTCTGTAGGTGCAGACAAGGCGTCGCGAGCCCGCTCTTCAATAAATAAGGGTCCTGTCCTTCCCGAGGAAGACGGGTGGCTTGCAGGGGAGGCAGGCATGGTACATACAGTGAACTGTCCCCTTACTGGAGCAGGTCCTGGCAGGAGACCAGCCATGGCGCCACCTGGCAGAGTCATCAGGGTGTTTATCACACGGCACACGTAACACTCTGACTCGCACATATCCAGAGAAACAGAGAGGAATTGTCGTGGTCGTGCTCGTTTGCTGACTGTTATTAATGATATTTGGTTATAAGGGACATGGTGCCAGCGCTTGTACTTTGACAAAAATCATCATAATGGGCCCTTTTGTTCCTTCTCCACCTCCCCATCGTTGTCCTGCCCGGAAACGCTTAGCGCGCCGCAGGGCGTGTTCTCAGGACAGCCGTGCGGCACGCGTGTGACACTCTGCCTTTGGGGGGAGGCTCGTGGAACCCGGCCCCCGGCAAGGCACGCTGGCCGCCTCTGGGGGTGTCAGGACGACAGGAGTGTTCGTGGAGCCGAGCTCTGTGAGGCATTGCAGGGACCCGCGGTCTAGACTGGGGTGGCCGAGCCTGCCCCTCGCCTGGCCTGCTTGGCAAGTAGAACTTTGTTGGGACACGATTGCTCCCATCTGTGTGGCTGTCTCCCGGGCCACTCTCCCGGCCCCTGCTCTGCACTAACTGCTCTCAGACAACCAAGGGCTTGGCCTCTCCCTGGGAGGCCTCCGCAGAGACGGACGAGGTCGATTCTCTGCGGCTCCTGCCTCAGTCGGGTTGAGAGTTTCCGTTTCCCTTTCACGCAGAGATGATCCAGCCCGTCTGCCTGCCCAACTCGGAGGAGAACTTTCCAGACGGGAAGTTGTGCTGGACGTCGGGATGGGGTGCCACCGAGGACGGAGGTCAGTGGGCTGGGCCGGGAGCTGAGATTCCCAGGGAGGGGCCTGCCCGTTCCAGCGTGAGGGTCCCCCGGGAAGCCCAGACTCCCCGGCTGGGTGTGTGTGTGTGTGTCAGCCGTTGGAAACACACATGGGCCAGGTGCCTATGGTCATGCGTCGCGGTTCATTTTGTCTGGGAACAGCGTAAAACCGCAGGCCTTCTGGGGCGCGAGTCCCGCCTTCCCCGACTTCCAGTGCTTCTCCTCCTGCCGGCCCTCCCTGCCTGCCAGCGGGGTGCGTGAGGAGCCTAGCTGGCCGGCCCCCTATAGCTCCAGCAGTCAGGGATTTGTGACCGCCATGAAGAGCTATTTCCTTGCGGTACACTTGTCGTCTCATCCTGCAAAGATCAAGAAGGGACAGCAACCAGATGGGCTGTGACTGCTGTGACGGCAACAGGGCGGCCACGTTAGTAATGGCAGTGCCCGCATGGAGACCGGTGCCGTCCTCTGTCGGTTTCCCGCGGTAACAAGCCGGGCGGCCGGAAACTGGGGAGATTTGCTCTCTCACAGTCCTGGAGGCTGAAATCCGGGGTCAGGGCTCTGCATGGGTGGCCCCTTCCGGGCTCCCAGGGGAATCTGCCGTGGCCGCTCTGGCGCCTGGTGGCCCAGCGAGCCCGGCTCCCCTTGGCCTGCAGACCCGTCACTGCAGCCTCAGCCTCCGTGGTCCTGTGACGTCCCCAGGCTCTGTCTCAAATCTCCGTCCCCTTTGTCTCACAAAGGTGGCAGCCACTGGACTCAGGCGCATCCTAAATGAGGGCGACCCCACCTTGAGACCCTTGCCTGACTCCTATGTGCAAAGACTGTCCCAGTTCGGGTTATTTCTACAGTGGTGGGAGACGTATTTTGGGGGGTGGGGGCCACAGTTCAACCCAACGCAGGAAGCTCAGTATTTCTCTCTGGAGACCCATTCGTTGAGCCTGCCCCTGCACAAGGCTCACGGGGGCTCGGCCAGGCTCGGGGTCTCGGGGGCCAGCTCGCCCACACTCCACCAGCACCACGGCGGGGCCCACGCCGGCCCAGGGATTCGTGGCTCTTCGTGGCTTGAAGCCCACCCAGGCCTGTGCCACGTGGCTGGTCGGGGGGGGGGGGCTCCCAGCTCCGTGGGCACCAGCGCCCCTGGGAAGGGGAGGAGGTGACTGCACCCCCCTTTCCTCTCGAGGTAAGCTCTGCTGAGTTCTTGCTGGAGACCACACGGCCCCCCAGAGTGATTCCAACTATGCTGAACTCGGAGGAGCGGGGGCTGGAGCCCCCTTTTCCTGGGAGGTTCAGGACCCGTCTGCAGGGTTGCCCATCTTCCCTCTAGCCATCTGCTCTGCCCCCCACGGAAGGTCCAACAAACCCCTCTGCCGCCGCGGGCTCTGTCCTCGCAGCTGGCCGCAGCCTCCTGCCTGCGCCGGGAGCTTCCCTGAGTGCCCCCCGAGTGAGCTGAATGTGCCACGAAACCGTGTGTCCCTCAGGGCAGCCCTGAGTGGGCACGGCCACTCGCTCATCTTGTGGGCACGGAGGTGGTGGGTGAGGGAGGTGGGCGTGTCCCCTGCCGTAAGCCTGTCGAGCGTGGGGACAACCGGGTCACAAGCCAGTTAGCTGGAGGGTTCACTCCCTGCGGGCAGGTTTCGAGGCTGGTCCACACAGGTGTACGTATTCCTCTCCTGTGGCTGCTGCGACAAAGGACGTCAAACTTAGTGGCTTAAAATGACACACATTTCTCACATTTATGAGTTATGGAAGTCAGGAGGCCAAAGTCATTCTCCATGGGCTGAAATCAAGGTGCGGGCGGGGCCGTGCTCCTTCCGGGGGCTCTGGGGGGAATCTGTTCCTGCTTCTTCCAGCTTCTAGAATCCACCCGCACTCCTTGCTCGTCCCGTCCTCGACCTTCCGGGCCAGCAGCGCAGCGTCCGCCCGCCTCCCTCTGGCGCTGGTCTCTGCCTCTGTCACCCCATGCCCGTCTCTGGCTCCTTCAGGGACCCCTGCGGTTTCCCTGGGTCCAGCCACACAAGTCGGGCCCCCTCCCCGTCTCGAGGTCTGTCCTCCGTCACACCTGCAAGTGTGAGGTGACACAGTCACAGGTCCCAGGGACGGGGACGGGGATGTCTTTGGGAGGACACTTTTTGCAGACCACCCACCCCGGCACCCCCAGGACTGAGCAGGTGGCGTCACGAGCCTCTTTCCCTTTGGTAACTTGGTTGTCATGACAGCTCAGCGCGAGGGTGCAGGCCAGGCCCTAGGAGGTGTTTTTGGCCCCTGTGACCCCTCACCCTCTACTGCCACCTTAGGACAGCCTGTGGCCCTGCCACGTGGCAGAGTGGCCCACACAGCTGCCGCGAGGGACAGAGTCCAGGGCTCGCAGTGCTGCGGATAGTCCCAGCCTGCGAGTCCCCTGTAGGGCCTGGCTGCCCCTGCCCCTGCGTCCTTGTGTCAGGTGGCACTGTGTTCTTCCCCTCGTCCCCTGGCCCCGGGCACACGCCCTCTGCACCCTGAGCTGGGCGTCCTCCTCACGGCGCACTCCCACCCTTGCTTTGAAGCAGGCGACGCCTCCCCCGTCCTGAACCACGCGGCCGTCCCTCTGATTTCCAACAAGATCTGCAACCACAGGGAGGTGTACGGCGGCATCATCTCCCCGTCCATGCTCTGCGCGGGCTACCTGAAGGGCGGCGTAGACAGCTGCCAGGTAAGGGGCCCGCGGTGGCCTCTGGGGGCCACGGGGCAGGCGAGGCCGTGGCACGTTGACAAGTGCCCCGGCAGGGCCGTTGCCAGCCTTTCCCTGTGACTAGGCGAAAAGTAAATTTACAGGGCGTGGGGGAGAAATTTGCTCAAGATAGCAAGATATCACCCCCTTTCCTGGTGGCCAGGCCAGTGTTTACCCAGCGTCCCTTGGCGTGGGCAGGGGAGGGGTCCTGCAGTGCCCCCCTCCCTGCTCGATGCTCGGAGTTTGCAGGGGACCGCAGGGTGACAGGCAGGGGAGCCGGGATCTGGGCCTCAGAAAGCCACATGGAGGGACTCCAGCACCACCCAGCACTAAGCTTCTCCCACGGCCAGGCAGACCCCCGCCCCCCCCCCCCAGCCAGCTGCCCTTGACCCCCAGGGGCTCAGCATCTGGAATCTGGTAGGAGACGCGGCTGGAGGGACCAGCCCAGAGAGGCCAGGGGACCCCACTCCTGAGAGTGCTGGAGTCCGGAAGGCTGCTGGGCCTTCTGGAGGCAGAGTCATCCTCGAGCCTCAGTTTCCCTTCCGTAACCTGGGTCACTCACTGTGACATTGTGGAGGGGGAGTTCCTGCCACCCTGCCTGTCCCCTGACTTTTGCTTCCCTCCTGCCCCAGGGGGACAGCGGGGGGCCCCTGGTGTGCCAGGAGAGGAGGGTGTGGAAGTTGGTGGGAGCGACCAGCTTCGGCATCGGCTGTGCAGAGGTGAACAAGCCCGGCGTCTACACCCGCATCACCTCCTTCCTGGACTGGATCCACGAGCAGATGGAGGTGGGTGTGGTGCCCTGGCTAGCTCACACTGTCCTTGGCACTCAGCTGCCAGCACCCTCTAAGCGCACCCCAGTTTTGTATAAACAGCCAGCGAGTGATGGAGTCGTCAGGTCTGCAAGAGCAGCGGTTTGGTGGCTTCTGGTTGTCAGACACTTGGGCTGGAAAACAGACGTGGCGGATCACAGATGATCCGTGGCGTGGCCCTGGTGGCGTGGCCCTGGTGGCGTGGACCTGGCAGTGTGGCCCTGGTGGTGTGGACTTGGCAGTGTGGCCCTGGCGGTGTGGCCCTGGCAGCGTGGCCCTGGCAGTGTGGCCCTGGCATTCAGAGGAGCGGATGGGAAGGATGGAGGGGACTCTCGAAGCAGGGAGAGGGCAGGCAGCCAAGGAGGAGCCCCCGTGGGGACAGGATGGGTTGGGTGTGCCTGTGTGTGCCAGGAGGACAGGGTGGGTGGGGGCTGAGACAGTGGTTGGGGGGACGGGTGGGTAAGGACCCCGCACACCCTCTGAGGAGCTGCCAGGGATGAGATAGAACATATGCAATTGGGGACTGGGGTGGCTCTGCCGCGGGGGTCCCCTGGAGGGGCAAGGCCTGCAGGGCCCTGCTCGGCAAGGCTGGCCTGGCAGGCCCCGGGCAGGCAGGAGGAAGAAGGGCCGCTGAGGTCCCTGGGTGCCAGGGGAAGGGAGCTCCACTGCCCTGCCAGCCCTGAGCGAGGGCAGAGGGGTGGAGATGGGCAGGTGGTGACATTCAGCGTGGGAGCAGCATGGGGCCTTGGGCGGGGGTGGGGGGGCTGGCCACTGTGGGGGCCCCAGAGGCACCTGTGCCTTCTTGTGGGCGCTCAGCAGACACCTGCTGCCTTGTCTCCAGCTGAGCCTCACGCCTGTCCTTGGAGCAGCGTCCCACGCGGCAGGTCCTCTCACTGCCGCTGACGAGTTCTTGGAAACCGTGACTTAGGGAATCCACGTACAGCAGGTCCTCAGATAATGTCCTTCCTTTCAACGTAGTTTCATTATAATGTGGGGAGAAAAAAAATTCGTTTCACTCTATGTCATATCCCTTAGAGTCACAGTTTCCAAGAATCTGTGAAGGATGTTCAGCGAGTCCCTGTGCTACAGTGAGGCCACCAGACAGTGAGGCCACACACCCTCCCAAGTCTCCGTTCACACCCAGAGGAGGCTCCCCCACCTGGCCCTCGAGAGGTGCTCCGGGGGCTCTGCATTTAGTCGTTCCACGCGAGCATCAGTGTGAGGGTTTCCGGGGCTCCACGTCTGGTGGGGAATGTCCCACCTATTAGCTGCTGTAGCATCTGCATTTTCATCCGGCAGTTTCCTCTGTCCGGTTGGGGCTTAAAACAAAATCGTTCTGGCCGGGCGGGGTGACTCGCGCCTGTAATCCTAGCACTCTGGGAGGCCGAGGCGGGAGGATCCGTCAAGGTCAGGAGTTCAAAACCAGCCTGAGCAAGAGCGAGACCCCATCTCTACTAAAAATAGAAAGAAATTAATTGGCCCACTAAAAATATATAGAAGAAATGAGCCGGGCATGGTGGCGCATGCCTGTAGTCCCAGCTACTCAGGAGGCTGAGGCAGGAGGATTGCTTGAGCCCAGGAGTTTGAGGTCGCTGTGAGATAGGCTGATGCCACGCACTCTAGCCCGGGTGACAGAGTGAGACTCTGTGTCAAAAAAAAAAAAAAAAAGAAAAAAGAAAGAAATCGTTCTGATGCAAACTGGAACTTGGAACACTGTCGAGTGTCAAGACTGGGAAAGGTCACATGTGAGTTCTGTGACAACCTCAGGGCAGGGATGAAACGTGCAGGGGCTTTTCCGCACCTGTCTGGGGTCCCACAGGGCTAGCGGCCTCCCAGTCAGAGGCCACTTGTCCCCAATGCGGAGAACAGCCTGGCACTTCTCCCAGGGCCACAGGCAGGTGCCCGCTCGGTGGCAGGGCCGGAGAGATGGCTGCGAGTGCCCAGAACAGTAACGCCTGTGCTTTCACTTTCAGAGGGACCTGAAAACTTGAACAGCGAGGGGACAAGCCGCCACCGCGTGTTCCCGCGGTGACAGAGACAGCCTGGCCCTCCCTGGCCCCCGTGTGGGAATGCGGACGTGAGCAGATGGCCTCCGTGCTCTGCTCTCTGTTACCCGTGGCAGAGCCGAGGGCAGCTTCCCTCACCCTCCAGGCCCGGCACGGCTGCTTCTGACGCCTGTGATCTCTCGCCTCGGGCTGAAATGACCTTGGAGCTCTTTCCCACCTTCGCTGAGAACGGAAGCAGGGCGCCTCCCAGGGGCTGCCCTTCCCATCCGTCCCCTGGTTTTCTCCACGGGGGCCACGCAACATTCCCGGCGAGACGTTCGGCAGTCTCATGCGCAGAGCAACCCACGGCCGCCTGGCAGAGACGCGCCACCCGGAACCACAGGAGTGCGCCACTGTGGACGCAGCCATCTGCACGTCTCTACCCTGGGGGCCAGGACCAAACCCACATGTTCTGTTCCCAAGATCTACTTCTACGTGTGGGGAACTTAATCTGTGGATGATTAGTTGTAAGGTGTATTATCATTATTTGTCTGTAGCATTTGGTGCTTGACGTACGTATCATTGTCTCTTGCTTCTAAAAAATGTATGTGCTCCGGGCTCACCCATTGAGGGACACTTGTCACCCGTTTGTCAGGCTAGTTTGAACGGATGCTGATTGCATGTGTAGGTTGGAATTGTAAGTTTAATGCGGGAGGCTCCATTTCTTTGATCTCTTGTATATACATTGTGGATCTGGCATTTTTCTGTTAGACAAGGTTTCTCAGCAGATTAGAATTAACTCACATTCTACCCCAAGACTCGAGGTGAGTGAGAATAGACGAGGAGGCCGGGCACAGGGGCTCACACCTGTAACCCTAGGACTCTGGGAGGCCAAGGCAGGAGGATCATTTGAGCTCAGGAGTTTGAGACCAGCCTGAGAAAGAATGAGACCCCGTCTCTACTAAAAATAGAAAGAAATTAATTGGCCAACTAAAAATATATAGAAAAAATCAGCCGGGCATGGTGGCGAGTGCCTGTAGTCCCAGCTACTCGGGAGGCTGAGGCAGGAGGATCACTTGAGCCCAGGAGATTGAGGTTGCTGTGAGCTAGGCTGACGCCACGGCACTCACTCTAGCCCATGCAACAGAGTGAGACTCTGTCTCAGAAAAAAGAAAAAAAGAACAGACGAGGTTCTGGGCTGAGACACAGCGCCCTGCCCTGGGGGCCTTGTGGGCAAGTGGAGTAGACGCTCAGAGGTCAGCAACAGGCCAGGGCTTGGTGTGACTTGGTAAGTAGCCATTGGCCATTGTGCTTGTCACAAATTAATCAATCAGAATGTGAACCAGTTGTTTTGCCCGTGGCAACAACGGCCGGGCCGGTGTGTCTGGAAGACGGCGCAGAGCCGGGTCCGGGTGCACGGGGAAGAGCGTGGCTCCCGGGAGCTGCTCTGGGGATGCGAAAGAGCCGGGATGCGGAAAGCCCAGCAAACCGGCCGCGCGGCCGCTGTGTTGGGGTTCACCCTCCACACCGGCGTCGCTCCAGGGACTTCTGTGCGTGTCAGAAAACAACAGGACCATTCCAAAGCGGCTTTGCCCGCTCTCTTTGAAAGCAGTGGCGGCTCACGTGTTGCAGCTCCAAACTGTGAAGACGCTCAAGATTTCCGGTGCCGTCATCTCGATTGAGACAACGTGATGCCCATTTCTAGCCCGCTGTGGTCTCAGCCTTCCATAATTGGGTTTTATTAGGGAATGTTTGACATCTACAGTCTCCTCTCAGAAGGTCATGGATAACACGAATGGTAGCAATTAGTGACGCATCACTTCTGCCTGGCACCATGCTCTGCACGTTTCACGTGTTCTCCTGTTCTGTTTGCACAACATCCCATGAGACAGGGACTGTGACATATTCCCATCCTGCCCATGGGGAAACCAGGGCGTGAAGAGTCAAGCACGTCCCCAGACCACTCACCGGCCTGGCGAGCCGGGTTCGGAGGGGCAGCTGTGCCGGCAGGAGCCAAGGCAGCTGGGGAGCGACACCCGGCATTTGAGTTTACCAGGGCTTTGCACCACCGGTCTGAACACCGAGAGACACATGTGTAACTCAGAGTCCTGACTAACATCTCCCTCCTTTAAGGAACTATCTAGTCACTTAGTGGGGACATTCGCTGCTTGAGCGGGAGGGTGCTGGGAGGGAGCTGTCGGCGTCCTTTCCCGCTTCCCCTGGACACAGCCTGGCGCCTTCCTCCCTCTCGACAGCCGGGCCAGAGTGAGAGCCCGGCGGGACACCGTGGCCAGAGCTCTCCTAACCTGCAGCCGCCCTCCGAGAAATGGCAAGGAGAGTTAGAGAATGAGCAGGACCCCTGCCTGCACCCGGGTGGGCCGGACAGACTCCCTCTTTTCTCTCTCACTCCCCCGACCCCAGACTGTGATATGGATTTAACCATTGGAAATGAATGCTAGAAGACCTAACAATATTATAAAACATTTGGGGAAAAAGGGTGTTAAAATGGGTCAAAATGTCAGCACTGTAGTTGGCCGGGAAAACTGCAGGCACTTGCCTCTCCCCTAGTACAAGGGTTATCTGCCCGCACGGAGGACACCTGCCCAAGTCTGTGTCCTCCACGTCTCTGTACCTGGGGTGGCACAGGACACACTCAGAAGGCCTGCGGTGGAAGCCCCCCACCCTGTCGCCGTCCCTGAGACCCATGCGGGAGCCCCCAGCAGGTGAAGTTTAGGGCACGAGTACAGTTGCACTGGCCCGTGCCACGTGTCTGTGGGAGCACTGTACGCGGGAGTCCTAACAGGTCGGCAGTCTCAGCGCGTGCAGCCACGGCCTGACCTGCACTCCGCTCTGGGGGTCTTCTTCAGATGTGCTGCTTTTGCGACCCACTTCTTGCCTCTTCTGGGGTGCCAGGGTGGCCCCGTGGAGGGAAGGCACCCTTTCTTCTGGGCTCCCCTAGCAAGCGTGTGCGCGCCTGTGCACCTGCGTATTGGCGCTTAGGTGGCGAGGCACTCGCCGGTGTCCCAGCCTGTCTCCCCCCAGGCTGCGCTGGTTGAGAACGGGGCTGCGTTCTGCTCACCCGCGTAGCCCCAGTGAGCCCAGGCCGGGAGTCTGCAGATTCACCCCAGGCGCACCTCCTAGGGGACAGGGCCACCTTCCCTCCGTTGGCGCTGAGCCTCACACGGGCAGTTTAAGTGAATGCAGCTTGGCGGGGTCGGGGGAAGCCGGGAGGGACGGCTTGGACTTGAGGACTTGGGTACCACGTCCCCATCTCCCACGCCCAGTTTTAAATTCCTCGGAGGCCGTGGCCAGGGCTTTGTGGCGTTTGGAGCCGTGCCGAGCCCGGGCTCTGACAGGAGGGTGGCGAGGCTGTGCAGGTGCACGTCAGGGCGGGGGGGGGGGGGTGCGGAGCGGCTGGCGGGTGGGGGCGTTTTGCCGTCCATGGCCCCCTGCACGGCCAGCCAGCGTCTCAGGGCAGCACCGGTGGGAGGAGAAGCCCACGGGCGGGAAAGGGCGGCTCCCTGACCCGGTCGCCGAAATCTAAGAGATTACAGGCAGCTCCCAGCCTAACCTCAGACCCGTGTTTGCCTTCAGGGAAGGTGGGAGGAAACGGGGCGTGGCCCGTGGGGAGCCCCGAAAGTTAAATACCCTGCTCTGTGTCTCACTCACTGACTCACTGGCCGGGGCAGGAAGATGGGCAACTCCTCGCTTTCAGAAGAGCAAAATCATTTACTTTTAAAAACGATACAGTATTTTTCAATTATAAAAGATAATTATACTCATTATAGAAATATTCCCATAAATAGGGAAGCAGAATGTGGGGACAGATATAGCCCCCATCTCAGCGCCCGCTGACCCCCCGCTGTGCATTTTCTTTCTTCTCCTTTTTCCTGCTGAGTGCTTCGTATAAACTTTTGCATCCTGTTCTGTTCCGTTTAGCACTGTAGGGCGAACATTTCCCATGGTACTGCAGATGCTGCCGAAATAGGCCAGTGAGGGCTCCACAATGCTGCATCATTTGGCTAAAGGAACACTTGTTCGCAATTCAATGTTATTGGTAATTTAGGTTGTTTACAGTGTTTTCACTGTTAAGGGAGATTTCTTTTGATGCACCTCTGCATGCAAAGTGATTTTTCTGTGGTTAGGCTTCTTTTCTTTCGGGCGTCCCCAGAGTAGACTTGCCGAGTCAGAGAGTGTGCTCCTCCTAACACTCCTGACACCAGGCCCCGGGTCAATTTCCACAAGCATCGATGCTGACTCCCACTTACCACCCCGTCACCCAAAGGATGGGCGTGTGACCTCACTCGACCCACCGTGAGGCCAGCCTGGCCCAAGACCCCACCTAGCACCCGAAAGCCACAAGCTCTGGCTTTCCTGTTAGTGACAGTTCAGAGCTAACGTTTACGGCCCGAGGCAAGTCTAGGTATTTTCCCTCCCAGGGCACAGCCTCTCCGGCTGTGTCGGTTTCCTGTCGTAAGTAACCAAGTCCCACACACAGAGTGGCCTAAACAACAGGGATCGGTTCTGTTGTTGTAAACCAGAGGATCAAGGGGACTCGGACACCAGAATCTAATTAGCCAAATTGGTTTATTGGTACCTGCGAAGGGGCTGTCACCACTCCATGCAAGGAGGGAGTCGCAGCCCGAACAAAGCCTTTGCGGTTTTCTTATACCTCAGGGGCTGGCAGCCATGCAAGCGTGCAATCACAGAAGCAGAACTCTGCGGTTAGTCGCTAATCAAGCGAACAATGGAAAGGTACATTGGGGGACAAGGGACTTTTCCTGGAACAGGACCTCTCTATTCTTTTTGGGAACAGGCCTCCTCGACTCCCTCCTCCCTCTCCTGGGAACCTCCTCTGGGAACTTTTACTAATAGAGCAAGACTGACTCCATTTTAGATTTACAGGCGCCATCTTTATCTGCTTCACTGTCCCTGTCGGAGTTCTGGCGGTCTCCGGAGGCTGACGTCGCTGTGTGGGCAGGGCGGCTTCCCTGGGAGGGATAAGCTAAGCTGTTCAGGCCTCTCTCCCAGCCCGGCAGCCTCGGGCGTCCCGTGGCCCGTGGCCGGCACCTCTCCGCGTCTTCGCCTCTCTTTCCACTCTGCGTGTCTCTGCGTCCAAATTTCTTGCTTTTAGTGTAAACAGTCATGTTGGATTCGGGTCCACCCCGCTGGCCTCCTCTTAACTGGATCATCTGCAAAGACCCTATTTCCAAATAAGGTCACAGCCGCAGGCACTGAGGGTTGGGACCTCACCACGTTTCGCCGCAGCACTGCTGAGTCATTCTGGGGTCGGCTTGAGAGGAGTTCATCAGGTGGCTTCCTGGCCCTGCCTCGAGGTCCCTCCTCCAAGGGGCCTGCCCGCCATTCTTGCTGAGGGACTCTGGGCCCCACATGAACTCTGAGTGACAAGGAGTTGTGTCGGGAGCCACAGGACCCTGAAGGCTGCTGGCGGACCCCTTACCGAAGCGTCACCCCTCCCAACTTTGCTTATTTAAGTTGACAAGTAAAAATTGTACATATCTGTGGTCTGCAACGTGGTGGCTCAACACATGCATACATTGTGCAATGGCTAAATAAAGTTATTTAACATAAGCCCTGCCTCACATAATTATCAGCTTTTTGTGGTGAGAACACATAAAATCTCCTCTCTTAGCAATATTATTAGTAACTGTAGTCACCATGACGT